CTTCTTGTTACTACTAGCGTGGCACTTGTTACTACTAGCGTGGCACTATGAGGGAAAATCTTTGGAGCACAGCACTAATGTGTCCTTTGGAGCACTAGATGCACCTCTGAAGGTGGATTGGCCCATGTGAAGGTGGCCCATCCCAGTTGCAAGGTCAAATGCATGGTGCCTCAAGAGTGGTTGTTTGATCTACTGGAGAATTCTCACACAAGCCACCTGCTCAGGTGCTTGAAGTTGAGGACCTTGCCCAAAAAGAAAAGAATTCCAGAAGTTACAGGTGGATAATACCGTTCCCAGGTGCTCTCCCAGAAAGAAGTGATGTCCACAAGTAGTGGGACCTAAGGACCCAGAGAGGTAGACGCCATGGGCGAGGTTCCCATCCCGGAGTTCCTGGTGTTCCACGCTACACTTCGAATTCGATGACTTCAGCCTGAGGAGTACATTACTCATATAGTGCTTGGACACTCCCAAACCGAGTCCGTTCATGTCACCAGCCAGGTGCGTTCACATCTGAAACCCCTTCTAAGTGGCAGGAGCGATCGGACGCTACGACCGGGGCTCCTGGCCGTACTACTAGGAGCAAAAAGCTGCTAGGAACAAGAAGCCACTAGGGGCTCCCCTTAACTGGCCGAACAAAGACCCCACAAGACACGTTTCTGCCCTCCCACGGGATACAGTGGCGAAAACTGGACACGTTCTGCCGGATGGTGTTCGGAAGGTGGGAAAACGAAGCTCGCCCCGTTCGGTTCGCGTCCGATCGCTCCTAGTCCTTCTCAGAAGCTAGGCTTGGACCCTCCAAGCCTAAGTCTATATAAATAGTCTCCAATCACCTTCTCAGAAGGTATGTGGATCCATATGGAGTAGTAAGGCCAGTTTCGCCCCGTTCGTAGCTTCTCATTCGATCCGATCCGCTGCTCCAGGTCTCCAATCCCTCCCTGACCGTGAAGAAGCCGCTCGAGGCTGCTCGGAGCGCGCATCGAAATCATGGATCGACCGGGGAGCAGGGAAGGAGATGGAAGGAGCGGTCACTGAGCCTCAAAACCGCATGGAAAAGGGGATGTAAAACCATGGCCAAAACGGACGAAGGACCCATCACCCGATCGACGGAGGACCGTTTCGCACGCGCCCGGGTGTTCAGTCCTCATGTTCTTGACGATTCGAGGCATGGAGGCACGAACCCAAGCTAGTAGAAACAAGTGCCTTACTATAATGTAACAAGAAGCTATTAGTTTTTTTGATGTTATTTTGATTCTAATGGCTTTTTGTTACTACCAGTAAGGCACTTGTTACTAGTAGCGATGCACTTGTTTCTACTAGCTTCTTGTTACTTATACAAGAGTTGCCAGCTTCCGTTGGAAACCTCCTCGTGTTGTGAAAGGAGCTCCCCAATCCTGTTGTCTTCTTGACACCAAGCTGGAAGCTTGCGATGCGACCCCAGGGAAGCTCAGTGGATTGGACACCCACAAAAAAAATACAACAACTGTTGCCAACTACAGGTCAGCTACAGGTCCAGCCTGACCGTTTTCCCACCAAAGAAGGCCGGTCACCCAGTCGAACCGGTCACGGCGGAGATGCGCGGAACCCTTTATTGTGGATCCAACGGATGGCAGATGGTGACCTGACTTGGGTCATGGATGCTTTGCAGAGGGTAAGTAGGGTATGGATGGGATGGTGGAAGGTGATTGAGAAAAGGTTCAGAACCTACAACATCCAAAGTTAGAGTTGTCATGATTTGTCCATCGGTGACCACGAACAACCGGCCTTTCTGGACTTCTTGGTGTGACCGACAGAGCAAGGAGTTGGTCGACAGAAAAACCTGCAGACTGAGAAATTCCGTCTCCCCTTCTTCTGAAGACTCCTCAGACTCTCCCTCATACACTGAGCTTCCACTGGGATCCGTTTCACCCACCGTCGATGACGAGCCTTCCGTTTCGTCCTCCCCGCCTCCCCGTAGGCCGGTGCCGCGGAGGCCGCCAAGTGTGGGGACAGCCCAGAGGGGTGAAACACTCGAAGGATGGAGATCCACCAGATCACTGTGTGAAAGTAGCCTTCTTTACTACTAATGTTAATTTGATTCTAATTTACATTCTATATATATATATATTGTTTCTACTAGCTTCTTGTTACTACTAGTAAGGCACTTGTTACTAGAAGCGATGCACTTGTTACTAGTAGCGAACATTGTTTCTACGGCTTCGGAGAGTCTGGAGTTGTCGTTCGGTTTGGTTTTAACCTTGGCCATGGACATCATCTCAGCCGCTGTCGAAACCCGATTCATGCGGTTAGGTGGTCAGTGCTCACGTTGGCTCTGCCTTTCGCGAGTCCGGCTCGTGGTTTCGGCTCGACCTTTGGACACTTCATCTGCAAAAACCACAGGCTCAGGCCGTGTGACTTTGGAAACAAAATTGGAAAGGGGATGGTCCAAATGGAAGTACTTCATGGAATGGACCATCACATGGTGTTTTCATGGAATGTCATGTTTTGGCCATGTGATGGCTGTTTCCTTTCTTATCATATGTTTGCTTCCATGGTCCATGACTCAGACTGAAGTACTTAGACTCCACGACTCCAGGGTGGAGTATGTGTGGCGCCCGTGTCTGCTCAGAGAATGCCTGTTTGCTCGATTCTTCGAGGGTTCGATTGTTCGGAATCGACAGGCTGGGCTGTTGACTCTGGCTGTTCAGTGCAGCTACGCAAACCAACACGAAGTCGTGCAGTCAACTTGTCAATTTGTCGGACTTGTTCGTCCGTCTGGATGGATTTTTTTGGCGGGAAGAAACACCTGCCTTTGGCGTCCAGCGGGCACTTCACATGTTTCCCTGAAAGCACCGGAGCCTCTCCACGTCGCGGAAGCTGGTCAGCTCGTTCCTCGAGCTCGTCTCCCTCGGTCGGAGCCCACCGAGGCGGGCAGTCCATCCACCACGCGGCCAAGATGGGGAACATCGAAGCGATTCGCTACATCCACAGGAATCACCCACACAGCCTCCTGGCAGGAGAAGGGGGGGTTGGCTAAGGGTCTGGTGGTAGTATGGCGCCTGCTGTAGGGCGAAATAAAGTGATGCAGGTGAGTCAGGATTTGGTCTGAGGTTCTCAATTCCATGAAGGCTTGGCACAGAGAAAAGCACTCACCCCAAGGAACGTGCTGAAAACAGGGTTTCCCCCTTCTTTTCCAACTTCTTTGCTGATCAAGTCCACTTGAGGCTTCTCCTCCCGAGGCTTCACCAACGTCAGCTCCGCGCCTCACCCCTCGTCGTCTCGTCGACTTGGTCGAGATCCGAGTGGAGTTCACCGGTCGATCCAAGTGCCTTTGTTCGGGCACAAAAAAGGACACCATGAGGCGGTGGGTGTAGGAATTATTGATTTTTGAGGTGCACCGATCGGTCTGAAAGGGGCTCATTTTGAAAGGCATGTCTTCCAGTGTCCCTTTTCTCAGCTCGACTCCTAGGCATCCATACCTATGATGAAACCGGCCAAGCACTTAGAGCTGCAACTTTTGGTGTTCTTGCTGGAAAAGTAGTCGCTGGCACGAAAAGAGGATTTCCGAGTGAATTGGAGGCCATTGCTGGGCCATTGCTACTATATAGGTTTGAGGCCATTGCTACTAGGCTGGAGGCCATTGCTATTAGTTTGGAGGCCATCGCTATTCTTCAGGAAGTTTCTCCCACCGCTTACTCTTTGGAGTCGATTTGTTGGGAGTCTAAGATGAAAAGATTAATTGGACAACCCTAAAACGATACCCAGAGAGAGACGGTTCCGTTATAACAGCCGATGTTGGTGCAGAAGCTTCTACAGGGTCCGTCGCCTTTCGTTTCGGAGGGTCCAAGGATTCTCCAGGACAGTTTTTGGGCGTGTGATCCTTCCACCACCGGTCAGAGTCTGTTTCATCCAGAGGGGTTGGTAAGAGAATGGATCAATATGGATCAGATTGAAAGGCACTTATAACCTTGAGAGATTAGGCTCGGCTTTGCTGCAAGTGAGGCCCCCTCTTCCCCAAGGTGCTTTTGTGCAGCTGACACCGATTCTGAAATATGGTTTGTTTTTGGGGTTTATGATGCGTTTGATTTTAGATGGAAGACGCGGCGTCCGTTCTGTTCCCGAGTTAAAAACAGGTGGTTGTTGAAGAGTTCTCTCCAATGAGTGGATCTTGGGTTCTTCCACCGCAGGAGCACTTTGGGCGATTGATGTGCCGTTCAGCAAAACAGAAAAAGTCATGAGGCTGTAGAAATGTCGATCGAGGTAAGGCAGCTCTAGACATGCAAAGCTTAGATGTTGGATGATGTTGGGTAGAATCGGAAACACCTAGTAACAAGTGCCACGCTAGTAGTAACAAGTGCCTTACTAGTAGTAACAATAATTAAATTAATAGCTTCTTGTTACTACTAGCGTGGCACTTGTTATTAGTAGAATTCCATCCGTTTTGTTCCGAACTCAAATCCCCACACGTTGATTGCATCCGTCAGAGAGGTCAGATGCCATTGCACCATGCCGTTTGCAAAGGCCACAAGGACGGCAGGCGAAGGCATCGCTGGAGACGAAGTCCCGACGACCGGACGAGCGACGGTGAGCATTGGGGCCAGCCTGCGCCGGCCTGGGCAGTTCGCGAGGTTCGATCTCGGAGGAGTCTCTACGAACGGGGCTCCTGGCATCGCTACTAGGAGCAAGAAGCTATTAGAAACAAGAATTAGAATTCAATATAAATAACAAAGACCAAAAAACCAAAGGGGCCTGGTCCGTGGTCTTCCACGTCACCGTGGTCTTGGGGGAAATTGGGTGCTACTCCAATGGCTCCAAGGACCCCTTCTTCGAAACCCTGCGGAAACCGTGTGAACCGTCAAAGGGATATATATATATTGGACTTCTTCCGCTTCTTCGGTACCTTTTGTCCTCAACGAGGGTGAAAGAAAGGTGCCATTCGTTTTCTGTAGAACCTCCGATGAACTGAGACTGGTGGATGGGAGACAGTTCATTGACCCCATGGCATTGTCCAACCATCTCCAACCCCATACCATTCTTTGTTCGTCAGAAGCTGGAAGGAGATGGTCAAGGAGCTGTTGAAGCATGGCGCAGATATCGAGGCCACCAACCATGACGGCCGGGGAAGCCCACACCGGTCACCGGACGTGTTTTCAGTTGGATGGTTTTCAGATGGACCTGCACAAAGGAAGATGGACCCTCTGTCAAAGAGGCATGTGGACTCTGCCACGTGTGTTTCGGTGCAGAAAAAAAGGAACGTGAGTGATTTGTAGGTGGATTACTCAGCGGAGTTGAGTCGAGCTGAGCAAGCATGGAAGCTACAGGGCTCAGGTCGGCCTCCAGCGGAGAAAAAGGTGGGTCTTTGTTCGAGCCCATACTACTGGAGCCTGGTCCTCCATGTAGCGAACGACCTTCCAGATCGGTCAACCAAGTGATCCTGGTTTTGACCCACAGCCATTTATTGCTTGGATGAGATTTGGGGGCACTCGTCGTGATTATGTCGTGATCGACAGGCTTCCGTGCCGAGCAGCATTCGACGGCTCAAACAAATCCTCTATTTTCAACGTCCGACCTCTCAACACGATGGCAAAAGGCATGAAGTTTGCCGTGCTCGTGGCCCTTGGGGTTTGCAAGGCGGAGTCCGATGCTTGGTAGACATACCAACCAAGAAGCTAGATTTTGACGACTCTTTCTGAGAGTAGATGCCACAGCCTTTGGCGACCACATCTTTCATGCAAGACAAGAGGGAGATGAATCATCCCAACTCCACATTGCGATCGGTTCTTCAGTTTTTTTCAGATGGTGGCTTCATACTTGGCCATGCCCAGGTTCCCACATGTAGAGTCTACGTGTGGGTAGACCTAGAAGATGCCCAAATGGCTGAGCACAATTTCAGGGCTGCTCAGGACGTGAGCAAGGCATTCGAAGACTTCATCGCGAAGTTCGAGAAGCTCCTTGGCCAGAGAGGCCACGGCTGAGGGATGCACCAAATGACCCTTCACGCAGCAGCCATTGAACATCGTTGAACCATCCTTCGAAGCACTGGTCCTTTTTCCTTTTTCTGAGCCAGCATTGTTTGTTCTTTGAGCGACTTCGGGGGTACTTACTGGGTTATTTTGGTGGCTGTGTTCAGTTGAGGCATATGATGGCATATTTGGGTCGTGGTGTCAAGAATGGTTGTTTTCAACCTTTACTTGGGATTCCTGGGATGATTGAACCCACTTGGCTGTGCTTCAAGCGAGTTGAAACCACCAACCAAATATGATATGAGTTTTGTATGTTCAGTTGTGGTTCTTCACCAGTTTCAACGTACTATGACAGGCCGGTCCAGGATGGACGACAACCCAGAAAGTGAGGGACTAGTTGGACACCCTCAGACCACCAGTAAAGTTAGCGCTCACTTGGACATGCGTTTGTCTCAGCATCTTGTTTGATGGTCCAGTCCTATCTGACACTCGCCCTTGCAGAGAATCCTCGCTAGGTTGAACCCAACCAGGATCCACAACACTGGGATCCGCTTAGAGTTGCCATTTGCAGGAATTCATGAACCACTTTTCAGCACAGATGGCTGTGCTGATTTCGCTCGCTCGCTTCGCCATTCGGTTCCCAGCGAACCTCGTTCGACTCGGGAGCGTCGCGGTGCGGTGCCGTTCGGTGACGCTTTCAGCTCCTTCGGCTCCTTCGGCCGAGGAGCTACGCCACGAAGGAGGAGCGCCAGAAGCGTTTCGAGTAAGGCACTACTAGCGTCCTTGTTACTACTAGTAAGGCACCTGTTACTACTAGCGTGGCACTTGTTTCTAGTAGCGAACATTGTTAGGAGCGCCAGAAGCGTTTCGAGATCTTCACCGAGAACATGGGACACATCGAGAAGCACAACGCAGCGGGGCACAGCTGCTCGGTTAGCGGGAAGGATCACACCGGCACAGAGGAGGAGTCCTGGAGTTGGAACGAAGAATCTGGGTGGGTTTCCAGGTTTCGAAGGGAGAGGGCACTCATTGCCCTCGTGACTCGGGATATGTTTGGTCCAGATGGTGATCCTCAAGCTGTGGCCACAAGAGAGTGCATTCTGGATCCCCGGTTTTTTGAGCGATACGTTGTGTCAGATGTGTGTCAGAATAATGAGTACGAGCCTCAAGAACCATCTTGTCAGGCCAGGCACGCCTGTCACACAAACAGGTCTTGACCTGGGTTGGGAAAAGCATGCAACCTCACATTTCAATTGGAAAGACAGCCCGCAGCCAATGTGCTCACTGATTGTCTTCCAGAGAAAGTGCAACAGCGTGACTAGATAAATGCCTTGAATGTTTCACTTTGTTCCTCAGACACCTTAAGTAAGGGCAGGCCTTCAGAAAGAGTATTTCATCGGGAGTGAAGCTTCCCAAAAAATCTAGAAACCAAATCATTGGTGCGAGCGCTTAGTCAAGGAAGCTTCGCCCTCAGGCGGGGATTTAGAAAATATAGGATGTCTTTCAGTTCCATTTCCATGAGGCCCTTCCTGTGTTTCTCCTTTGCATCCAGCTTCTGAGATTAGTTCCCTGTAGCCCGTCACCGTATTAAGGTCCGGTTTTCTGGGTAACCCAAAAAGCATCCAAAACGCCCAAACCTTAGAGGTCCTTTTGAAAGCACACAGGTCCTTTTGACTCTTCAACCATTTCTTACAGGTCCTTTTGAAAGACACCCATCAGACACCGGGTAGGACAACACCCGCTGTTCCGTCTGCCGGTTCCGTCAGACTACCAGTTGGGAGTCACTGCCTTCGCAGACCTGACGCCTTGACGAAGAGGGAGGGGGAGTGGGAGCTGCAAGGGAAGGTGAGGTGTTTTGTGAGGTTCTACGACTTCCAATCTTGTGTTTTCTTAAAGGTGTCATTGTTGTCCAAAGTGTCATTTTGTTTTGTGGGGTGTTTTTTAAGGTGTACGTTTTGACAAGAACACCTGATTGAAGGGGTTCACGTACTTCCGTCTTAAGGAGGGTACTGCCTGGACTGCATGGTAAGGCACAGCAGGCAGTAGGCTTTGTAGATGAAGTCCGAAACCATCTATGAGGATATGGAAAGAAGAGGAGGAACTCCCTCGTGAGGGATCAGAATGAAGACTTTTCCCAGATTTGCACAAGCATATCAGACCATAGGTCTGGCTTCACATGAAAACGACCACTAGATGAAGCTGCAAGACAGTACATGGCACATGGCAGTGACGGGAGGATGAAACAATATGGGAAATGTGTGTGGAAGTCTCACTCTCACTCTCACTTTCGTAACACGAACTTCGTGTCGCTTCGCAAGGAAGCCTGATGAGTTTGCCTTCGACCATGTGGGGTGCATGATCAAGTCTGAGAAGCCTTGGTCGGGCTTGCCCTACTTGGGACGCGAGGAGTACAATTCGAACACCACCGCCTTGCCCAAGTCCTTGGATTGGACGAAGAGACTTGGAGAGAACAAGGGAGACGAGTTGTGAAAATTGAGCCGGAACGAGCCTAAAGTCAGCCATCCTCGTTTAGTGCATGTGTTTTCTTTATGGAGTGCATTTCGGGTTTTCTTGGTAGAAGCTCTGGAAAACCTGTGATCAAAGCAGGAAATTGAGTGAAACAAAATTGTGTAAGTGCATTTACTGGTTTCCACTTGTTGACGCTGTGTTCTGGGACACCTTTCACAGTGAGACAGGTAACCGAACAACGGCTGATGATGAGTGTTCTTTCGTTGTTGGAACATGCCATGTGAACCTGACGACTGAACCGGACAGAAACGGCACCACTGAACCGGACAGAAATGGCACTGGGCAACTCACTGCCGCTGCCCAACGCTTCCGCGGGAGCTTTGAGGGCGTGACATCTGCAGCTTGCAGTCGACCACGTGCAATCCAAGTCGCATCCACCAGCCTCTGCAGCTGAGCGAGGAGCGTCGGAACAGGGCGATCCGTCCACGTCCTGGAAGGCGTGTGGATCGCATGGAGCTGCAGGTGGACTCCGCCCGGTCTGGCCGGCCGAGGCCGTTTGACATCTGCTTGGCTCGCATCGCATGAGGCCATCCACTGTTGTCATCTTTTGTGAGATGAGCTTTGCTTTTTTGCCTATGTTGTGACTGTGTCCGAGGGTGTTACTGGGCAGGTCGCCCTAGTAGGTCGGGTTTCTTTGTTGGTCTAGGGTTCACCTCAGTTCTGCAACCACTCAGGGGGTCAGGGTTTATGGTGGCTTCAGATCGATGTTGCTCCTGGGTGTCTGTCTCAGGAGCTTCGGTTAGGGTTTGCTGCTTGCACGTTGAAGAACGTGTCAACTCATACATTCCACATGACGCAGTAGCTCTACGCAACGTTCCAAGTGTGTCCTAATCTGTCTTCCAAGCCGCTGCGTGTTGCAAAAGCAGGGACCCCCTCTATTTTGGGTGTCCTCGCACGCGTCGGGACCTCTTCTCGCCGCGTCGGGACGGTCTTCGTCGGTGTCAGGAAAGGTGCCGTGACCGACCCGAAGAATCAGGGCAAATGTGGATCGTGTTGGAGCTTTTCCACGAGCGGTGCATTGGAGGGCGTGCCTTGAAGGGTGACCGGTGTCCTTTTCGCGGAGAAAACCAACGAAGAGCGAAGACGACCCTAGACGACCCTTTGAACCCCCTGGTTTAGAGGGTGTTCCTCTACTAACGGTCCATGTTAGTCTTCCAGGGTATAGGTTTCATGATGTTTCATGATATTATGTGACCTGACAGGATTTTTCACTCTCGGGTCACATGCCATGCTTCCTTAGTCACATGATTTTTGTTACAAGCCTGGCTCACTGAACAGGCACATCTGTTGTTCATTGGTGAAGAATTGCACACTCAAAGCCGCAAAAATACCACTGAGTTGAGGTGCTATAGTTCAAGCACCCTTTACAATTCGGACCGCAAGGACCAAGCCAGATGAATCTGCTGTACGTACTCCAATTGAGGCATGGAAGATCGCGACCGGCAAATTGATCTCCTTGAGTGAGCAGCAGCTCGTGGATTGCGCTAAGAATGGACCGCCGGCAGAGAGATCGGGTGTTGGGGGTTTCCGAAAAGCGGCGCCGTGTTGGATCGTTGCCCTGGTCTTTGGTGTCGTGTGTTTTGTTGCATATGATGCATGTCTTTCAGATCGGTCAGATGGGTTGGGTTCTGAAGCCAATGCAGCTCGGAGTTTTTGGGAAGTGCACCGGTAGACCTGAGAGGATGCAGTACTTGTAGTAGAGGATCTCCAGCGCATGGCTTTTCCCCGAAATCCACCGACCTTGCGACGGATCCCCGGTCCTGTGCCCGTCTCAGTGCCCGTCTCCGGACAGGAAATATGGGCTGCCAGGGCGGTTCCATGGACTTGGCCTTTTCCTACCTCGAGAAGCACAACGTTTGCACAGAGGAACGGGAGTGGCGGGGGGAAGGGCGGAATCGGCGTGGAAGAGCTGAAGAGCTGTGAAGGGGAGTTGCTACGAGGCCGCACGGCTGCTCTTAGCATTCTCACGGAATGGGGGTTCCGGGGGAGGCTTCGAAAGAGCCCTTGTGCATGGTCGAAAGGCACGAGAGAGCACCAGGGAAAGGGAACTCTTGGCGACCCACGGGCAAAAAAGTAGGAGTCATTTTGAAGTTATTTGTGGACCCTTTTTTGGGATGCTGGCTGGCGCTCTCAAGATCCTGGGGCTGCTACCTTCTTGTACTGGCCAACCTCTGTGTCCTTTCGGCCCTCTTCTACCGGGGAAAAGTCAACCGACCATTGTAGACCACGTCGTCGCTCCGTCGCTCGAGGACAGCTATCCCTACTTGGCCAAGCAAGGCACCTGCCACCAGACGAAATGCACCGCAGCTCGGCGAGAAGAATCCAAAGAAGCTACCGGCAAAGTGCACTTGTTCCTAGTAGCTTCTTGTTACTACTAGTAAGGCACTTGTTACTAGAAGCGATGCACTTGTTCCTAGTAGCTTCTTTGTTGGGCACCAAGTGCACCGGGGGAAAGAGGTGAAGCCTCGGCTGGTTCTTCGGCCGGTCAAAGTGTCGAAGGAAAGCGATCAGTGGGGGGGGCGCACTGAGTGAAGGAGTCATGGTTTCAATGCGATCCTTGAGATTGAAGGAAGGAAGCTAGAGCAGCTAGTGGCTGTGTGAGTGCGGATTTACTAGGATTGGGCAAATTTTGGCCAGTGATCGCTGATGAGTTATCATGTGTTCTAGTTGAGAGAAGGCTCACGCAGCAGTCTTAGCCTCGACTACTGTATGCCTTGCCTCTAACCAGGACACAATGTGGATTTGAAAGGGTGTTGAGAGATCAGGGTGTTTTGAAAGGGTGTTAACGTGTCTCGACAGAATGGACCTTACACCACCAGCGAACGCAAGCGCGGTGTTTTTGAGCCGAAGAGCGGGCGCGGTCGCTCGTGACCGGAACGGACCGTTGGACTCGACACGAATCGGTGGACGACCACAGGTCGGAGTGCCCAAGGGCTCCATCGTGGGTTTCAAGGACGTCTCTTCCAAGGACATGAATGCTTTGCGGCTTGGCTTGAAGATGGAAGCTGGAAGAAGCCATGGAAGCAGGGATAGATGGAAGCCATGGGATGCTTAATTTTACCAGTTTCGACGTTAGAAGTTGTTGAACTTCAGCAGACTCTATAGTGGATGGTGTGGGCTTGACAAATCAAAGGGAGATCGCGTGTTTTGCCGCATCGCGAAGAGAATGAAGAGGATGTCCGAGTGGACCCCTAGATCATCTCAGAGATCCGAAAGTTTTAACATGGCAGGAAATGTTTGTTCACCACTCACGAGGATTTTCACCACTCAAAGTTCAAAGCATTGAAAAAAAATGACAGTGGCATCGCTACGAACGGAGCAAGGACGGTTACTAGGGGCTCCTGGCCATACTAGTAGGAGCAAAGGGCATCGCTACGAACGGAGCAAGCACACTTGGCAGCAAGTGATTCATTCGCGACTCGCCGAACGAGGATGCAGGCCGTGTCCAAGCAGCCCGTCTCCGTCACTGGGCGGAAAGGCTTTTCCGTCGGTCCGAGAGAGGGTGAAGCGGTCGAAGCCGTCGAAGGATGAGGTCGCTTTCAGGATTTGGACCCTGATGTTGGGTGCCAGGCTCCATCCACACCACTCCCGACAATATGCCTTCATTCATCTTCATTCCCACTCCTAACTGTTTGGTTCATGAGCCTCGCCTTCCCACTCTTTTTTCAGGGCCGGAGCGCATTTGGGCTCTTTGGGAAGCGCACGAACGAGGGCTCCGTGTTGCCCAGGTGGCCATTGAGGCGGATCAGATGGCCTTCCAGCTCTACAAGGGTGGCATTCTCTCGAAGAAATGCGGCGCCTCGACCGTTTGACGGGTTGAGACTGACTGGATGCGGACGGTGAGAGCTTTCCGGAGGATTTGGATCGAGACTGGAAATCAACCTGTTTGGAAATAGACATATTTTTGGAGATCAATGTGTCAATCTAAGAAGAAGCTACCAGTAACAAGTGCATCGCTTCTAGTAACAAGTGCCTTACTAGTAGTAACAAGAAGCTACTAGGTTGGAAGACACCAAGAAAAGGATCGTGCCGTGCCGATCTTGAAACAGACCGTTCCTTCTTCGTCCTTGTCGTCGTCCAACAGTGAAAGCCTGAACCCTCAGAGGATCGGCCGTTCCAACGGCTGGGAGCCCATCGAGTCGATGTGGAGAGTAGAGTTAAGTAAGAAGGGACGGGAAAAGGAATGAGATGGAAAAGAGGCATCAAAGAGGAATGATGAGGAGAGTAGAGAAGAGAGAAAGTGAAAAGCGCATGAGTCCAATGAAACCAAGAAAATGGTGCGGCGCGGGTCAAAAATGGTGCAGCTGGATGCCCCAGGGTGCTGGAAGACCTGGTCCCTCTGAGGCAACAAGCTGGATCATGGGGTGCTCTTGGTTGGCTACGGCACTGAGAACGGGGTGGACTACTGGAAGGTGAGATGGTCCAAATCTGGTGGAGTCGAAGCAGACCTTGGTGTGTTCTTTAGTGGTTTTGATACCTATCAATTTACCTTCAAAAAGAAGTAAAATTCTGCGACAGGTCAAGAACAGCTGGGGTGCCAGCTGGGGCGAGAACGGCTACATCCGCTTGGAGCGTGGTGTGCCGGGTGACGGCGAGTGTGGCATCAAGGACCAGCCCTCCTACCCCTTGGTGAAGGCCAAGACGGAGACGGAGCTCGTTGTTTGAGCGGAACTCACTCGATCTCACATGGGCTGCGGAGGTCTCATTTGGGGATGCCCGGCCCAAGAAGTTACACAGTTACAGTAGCTGGTGCTTTCGGTTCAGCGGAGATGGCACAATGGCCCTTCGCTTCAAGAACAGTAGCCAGGCACAATTTTTTGGGCAGCAGCTTCTCAACAAACTTTTGATGAACGGAAAGCACCCGTCACAGGACTTGACTTTGAAAGCCTTTGAACTGTGAGAAAAGGTCGTGTGCAGGCAATTTGGTACAATTGCTGAATCGGCTTGAGTTGAGATCACCCACTTTTTGATAGTTTGTGAGACGTGGCATGTTTTGCTGCTGAGGTGATACTCCTTTGCATCACGCAGTCTCTGAGGGCAACGCTGAGGTGGAAAGAGCTGGGTAGTCGAAACGTCTCGTTTTGTTCGAAGGTACATCAGTGCCACTTGTAAACCTAGCAGGTCACTGTTTAGTCCAAAGAACCATTTGAGTTCGATACTTGTTTGCAGCAGTCCCTTCATCTTAGCTCATTTGCCAAGTGGCATTGAAGTGCTTATTCATGCCTGATATGAGAGTGACCCTTTCCTGAGCCAGTCCCCTAGATGAGCCACCAGGAAGAGGAAGACCTGTGGTGAGGGCACAGACCTACAATCATCTCACTTTGGAAGTCGTGTAAATCAAGAGGTTGACCACTGTGGAAGAAGCCAAGAAGCTAAGGACATCCATGCTCCACGTTCCAAACCTCAACCCTCTGCCTGGAACCGGCTCCGAAACCTGCTCGACAGGTGGTGCGTTTGCTGCTCGACAACGGAGCAGATCTCCATGCCCGAGAGAAGTTTGTGGGTCTGGGAGCCTCAAAGCATCCGTCGACGATTCCGGTCGAAGCGAAGTTGCCGACGAATCAGATGTTTTTCGATCAAGAGTCTCAAGGGTTCTTGCAGTTGCACGCATTCGTGAAACATTGTGAAACTGGCGTCCCAGTTTCAGTGACAAATGATCGACTTGCCCTCGAAAAAAGGCAACATAGGCAACTGCACACAAAGCTGACACAGGCCTTTTTTAAAGACAGACTTTTGGATCTGGGGCGCCCTGCTCTTGGCCTGCGGTTGACCCACCGAACAGACGTGAAAGTGCAAGTTCTCACGAGATGTTATCAGATGAAAGCATGGGGGAGCATCCACAACTCCACCACAAATGATCATACCAGGACCAATCAACAGGTCTCCGAAATGGTGGCTGGAATTGAGACTGAAAAGATCGCAGGTGGTGACCTGTTGGAGAAACAGGTGCTATTTGAATGTGAAACTTGACCGGTTCAACCTCGCAGTTCACCACGTGTGAAACGAAACACAAAACCGTTCATGGCACAGGTCTGGATGCTCCTAGTAGCGTCCTTGTTCCGTTCGTAGTACGGCCAGGAGCCCCGTTCGAGTCGCGTCCGATCGCGAACCGTTCGTAGCGATGCCCTTTGTGACGTTCGTAGCGACAGGTGACAGGTCTCTTCGTGACAGGTCCCGGAACATCGGCGTTACCCTCCCTCCAACAAGCGACACCTGTTACTACTAGTAAGGCACTTGTTTCTACTAGCTTCTTGTTACTACTAGTAAGGCACCTGTTACTA